CATTCTTATTTTCTTAGAATTATAGTTAGAATCATTTTCCTGTCCATTTTTTGTTTTATTTTGAGGCCTCATGTTGCCCAGGCTGCAGGGTGGTGGTAGAATCATAGCCCACTGTAACCTTGAATTCCTGGGCTTAAGCGAAATTGGGATCATTTTTCTGATTCTGCCACTTAATTGTTAGCTTTATGATCTTAAGAAAGTTGTTTTAAGGCCGGGCGCAGTGGCTCACGCCTGTAATCCCAGCACTTTGGGAGGCTGAGGCAGGCAGATCAAGAGGTCAGGAGTTCGAGATCAGCCTAACGTGGTGAAACCCTGTCTCGACTAAAAATACAAAATTAGCTGGGCGTGGTGGTGCACGTCTGCAATCCCGGCTACTCAGGAGGTTGAAGCAGGAGCATCCCTTGAACCCGGGAGGTGGAGGTTGCAGTGAGCTGAGATTGTGCCACTGCACTCCAGCCTGGGCACACAGTGAGACTTTGTCTCAAAAAAAAGAAAAGAAAGAAAGTTGTTTGAACCTCATCGTCTCCATTTCTAATCTCTAAATGGGAATTTTATCAGCTTACTTCATGTAATTGTTACATGAATTAAATGAAGTAAGGATATAATATTCCTAGCACTGTGGCAGGCACATAGTATGTTCAATATATGTCAGCTGTCATCATCATCATCATTTTTATTTTTATTATTACAATATTGAATAATTTAGTGACAACCATGTCGTTGGACATTTAGTCTGTTTCAATTGAGTCACAATCACAGATTATGCTGCTATGGACATATTTGTGCATTAAACTTTTCCTGTACTTGTTTTCTTAGAATAGCTATCCAGATGAAAATTAATGTGTTAACAAGTATAAGGGTGTTTCTTATTTGGGATACCTATAGGCTACCATATTGTTTTCTGGCAGCAGCAGTTAATATTTGAACCAGGATGCTAGAATTATTTCTTTATTTTTGCTCCCATATAACAGAGATGGACTGGAGAGGTAGGGATGTGTGTTAGAATTTACTCAGAAGTTAGTCTTCTCCCTATTAAAAATACCCTGTTGCTGGCCCAGCACGGTGGCTCGGTGGCTTGGCACAAAATGCTTATAATCCCAGCACTTTGGGAGTCTGAGGAGGGCAGATCACTTAAGGCCAGGAGTTCCAAACCAGCCTGGCCAACATGGTGCAATCCCCGTCTCTACTAAAAATATAAACATTAACCAGGCATGGTGGCACACACCTATAGTCCCAGCTACTTGAGAAGCTGAGGCATGAGAATTGCTTGAACCTGGGAGGTAGAGGTTGCAGCCAGCCAAGATCGTGCCACTGCTCTGCAGCCTGGACAACAGAGTGTGACTCTATCACAATAAAAAAACAAAAATAAAAAAAAAGGTTTTTTGGGTTTTTTTTAATTGTTACATGCAGAGGGGAGAGTAATTGTTCTGTCGAACCCAGAAAGACTCTTAGTTGTCCTAAAGACCTCATACATTTCTCTCAACATGCAAAAGAGAAGCTCGATTAGAAAGACTCAGGAAATGTCAAACCTGAAGAGAACTTTAGGCATCACCTCCATCTTTCACTTCTTAGGTGACTAAGTGAGGCTCTACGAAGGTTAAGTGATCTGGCCAAGATCAAATAGTCATCACTCAGACAGAGGTAGAGCCAGGACCAGAGCTCTATCTCTAGAGGGCTAATAATCTTACCACTCTTATCTTGTTACCTCTAGTCAATTAACAAGTACCTTTTAAGCACTTAGAGGCTTACCAGTCTTGAGCACTTGCGTGACAAATCACCACATTGCCTCTCTACGTTAGGAGATGCTCCTCAAAGAGCCTGGTTTTTGTTTGTTTCTCAGTCTATCTTAGGTAACACTGCCTGTTCTAAGAAAGAGAAATAAGGAATGGGAACCCTTTTTAAAACCGAAGGTGAACAACCTCTGTGTATATTTGTGAGCAGATATGCTGTTCTGGTCAGTCTCTTGGAACTTCCTCCCTGGTGATAGGATTGGGGAGTCAGAAGAAAATGAAGAAAAAAGAAAATGTGTCACTTGAGAGCCTAATGGTCTGGCTGGCAGTCTTTGGCATTTCTTATAATCCTGAGCTCTAGTTAGGATGGGAGTTCAGTTTGTAATTTTTTTTTTTTAATGTAATGGTTAAAAGGATAGATTAGGCTGGGTGTGGTGGCCATGTCTGTAATCCCAGCACTTTAGGAGGCCAAAGCGGGTGGATTACTTGAAGCCAGAAGTTCAAGATGACCCTGACCAACATAGCTAAACCCCATTTCTACTACACAAACACACAAATAGGGTAGGTTAGATCCTCACTAACTTTACATCTTCTGGTTTCATCCCTTCAGTTTTTGAATAAATATATGGGCCAGAAGGATCTTTCCAGAATGTAAATCTGAATACTCATTCTTCTACTTTGAACCCTTCTATGATCCCCTAGTGAAGGAAATAAAATGCAAGCCAGCCATTCAAAACCTTTCATGAGCTGGCCTCTGCCTGTCTACCTCATCATCGGCCTCTGAGTGCCTAATTTCTTACAATCCAGCAGTTTTTTCAGGCCCCTCTGCTTCTACAAATTACCTTCTCCTAGTAAATACCCTTCTATTTGTCTAAGTTTAAAAAAAAAAAAATCTTCCTTCTTCCAGACTACACTCAGGTGCTTCATTTTCTGTGGAAGCTTCCCTTTCTCACTCTCATGTCTGTTCCACCAGAGTTAACCCCTCTGTCCTCTTTGCAACTGCCAACTGCACCTTGCATAAGCCTCGCGTTACTTGTTTAAACGTCTTAAGTTTTCCTTGTTATACTGAACACTCCTTGAGAGCAGGGGCTACGTCTTTTTTTTAATCTCCAGCAGTACCTGCCACTAAGCAGATGCCCAGATTTTCACTGAACAGCTGATTAGGATACTTGCAAAATGTTTTGCCTAAATTCCTTTTCTAGATTTTTTTTTTTTTTTTTTTTTTTTTTAAAGACAGAGTTTTGCTCTTGTTGCCCAGGCTGGAGTATAATGGTGCGATTTTGGCTCACTGCAACTTCCGCCTCCCGGGTTCAAGTGATTCTCCTGCCTCAGCCTCCCAAGTAGCTGGGATTATAGGCACCTGCCACCACACCTGGCTAATTTTTGTATCTTCAGTAGAGATGAGGTTTCACCATGTTGACCAGGCTGGTCTTGAACTCCTGACCTCAGGTGATCCACCCACCTCTACTTCCCAAAGTGCAGGGATTATAGGTGTGAGCCACCACGCCCGGCCCCTGCTGTAGATTTTTTTGTGGCAAATCCTGAATGCTTTTTGGCCCTGCACAAACAAGGTGTACAGGCCTCAAGGAGGAAGTTTGGAAACAGCACACAACTTCTGTGAGGGGTTGGCAAAACACATTCCTAGTTACAATGCTAGATTTCAGCAGTGCCTGCTCGGAAGATAAGGAACAACAACGACATAAAAAAATGATCGTATATGAAATGTGTTGGACTCCACACGAATGAGTTACTGATGGATAAAGTGGTGTGTAACACCTAACTCATTTCTAGATAAGGAAAAGTGTCTTGATTTAAGGAACAGCAAAATTGTATTCACTTAGAAAAATACTACATTGCAATATGAAATAAAATTGGGGGAAATTTTGTATTTTATGCAATACCAGTGACCTTAACAAAATTACTGTTCTTTTTTCCATGTGACTTTCCAGACTATTTCTGTTAGCTTAAAAATACATGTTTTACATAGGTGTAGTCTGTGTAAAGATAAATACTGTTTTGTATTTTCCTTTTTTGCTTAATAGCTTATTATGTAAATATTTTTACATTTGGTCTTGGGAGTTATTTTTAGGAACTGCTTAACAATAGCTACACATCATTGAGGACCTGCCATGTGCCAGGCATATGCTAAGCATTCTTATTTATAATCCTTACAACAGCCTTAAGAAGTAGCTATTGTTATCCTTAATCTTTCAGACCAGGAAACAGGCCCAGAAAGAGTTAGTGACCCAATGACACATAACACTAAGTGGCAGGGACCAGTTTATTCTTACCCTAAGTCACTACTCTTTCTTCTCTGACATGCTATCTCCTATATGAGAATTTAGCTTTGCAGTGTGATTATGGGCCATAATTTAATAAACCATCAATTTTTCCTGTTTGACATTTAGGTTATTTTCTGTATCTTACCTTTCCTACACAAGCAATAGTGAATCCATATTCGTTTTTCTTTTAATAAATGTGCTTTTCCATAGTATATGTACATGCTCATACATGTGCATAAGTGTACATTTATTGTCACATATTGTGGCATTAAATGAAAAATTTTAAGCATCTATATTTTTCATATTGTTTACTGGTTTTATATATTTCCAATAATTTTTAATGGCTAAGAATCATAGTTTAAGCATTTTAAGCGCTCTTTAGTTTTTTCTATAATAGTTTGTTTTTAATTATTTTGCTATGATTTGAAAATAACCTTTCTGAATTCTGTTTTTATTTAAAACTTTATCTTAACATTTGATATGCATTAGTTTATATTTATCTAGTCAAACATAGTAACCTTAAGTACCTTTTTAGAAAGACAGAGATTGGCCAGGTAGTGGCTCATGCCTGTAATCCAAACACTGAGAGGACGCAGTGGGAGGATCACTTGAGCCTAGGAGTTCAAGACTAGCCTGGGCAAAATAGTGAAACCCTGTCTCTACAAAAAAAAATAGTGAAAACCTGTCTCTGGTAGATATGGTAGCTCACTCCTGTAGTCCCAGCTACTGGGGAGGCTAAGGTATGAGAATTACCTGAGCCTGGGTAGTCAAGACTACAGTGAGCCATGGTAGTGCCACTGCACTGGGTGACAGAGTGAGATCGTGTCTCAAAAAAAAAAAGACAAAGGTATTTTTCTCTTTGACAGAAATCCTGTATCTTATGGTAAAGTAATATCAATATCTCTGGGCAATTGACCCTTGTTTCTTGTGTCATTCTGTTTCTCTACTTTTATTAATTTGATCCTGGGTCACCTTTTTGTTTTGGCAGGTCTGGGACCTACGCCAGAACAAGCTAACCTACACCATGAGAGGCCATGCAGATTCAGTAACTGGCCTGAGTTTAAGTTCTGAAGGCTCTTATCTCTTGTCCAATGCAATGGATAATACAGGTAACTTTGGAGAGGAAATCTCTCCCAGGATCCAAGGAAAAAGTCAAAGATTGTTCACAGATTGCATCAGACAATTAGAACATGTTGTAATGGGGAAAGCTTTAGGTAAGATAGTAAAGAATCTAGTCTCAGATATCTGTCTTGTCCCTGGACAACATTGCACACAATAATTCTTCTCTCTGCGAATCAGTTTCTACACTGATAAGAAGACTGGACTTTACCTTTAAGATCCATCTCAGCCCTCAGGACATAAGAAACTGGGTGATGAGTTTAATGAGAAAGATGTGAATTTAGAAGTCTATATAAGGCAGTCCTCGTGCGTTTTCAGAGAACACCAAGCTTGGGTGATCTCTTTTGCTCTTTCCTGCCAGTCTGTCTTTCCTCCCCACTCCAAAAGCATTGGTGTGGAAAGAGGTCTTCAATAAAACATCTCGACATTCTGGATTTACATAAACACACTCTTCCTATTTCTCTTTACTTGTTTTTGAGTTGTAGGGTGGGAGGATAGATTACTATAGACGAAAAGTAAGGTGACTTGCTGGATTATATGCTTAATGTTGAGGAAGTTTGGAAATGGCCCTGGTATACAAACTTACAGGATTGTCAGGAACTAAAATGTATTCCCTGACATTTTATAGCAAAAACAATACCTGACATTCATCGGATACTTAATAAATATTTGTTGAACGAATGGACATCTTTACCTTTTGAGTATATTCTCAATAACAAACTTTCATGCATAGCTTTGCCTTTTTATGCCTGCCTGACTCCAAGAATTGATAACACTTTTTTCATACTCAGATAAAATGACATCACTCAAATTCCACTATACATATAGCTTCAGTTACAACGGCTGTAGTTACTGCTTGTAATAGATGTTTATACACATATAATCTAGCATTTTAAAAAAATGTTTTTGGCAAGACAGGACCTTGCTGTGTTGCCCAGGCTAGTCTCAAACTCCCGGGCTCAAGCAAGCCTCCCAAGTACCACGCCTAGCTAGTGCTAGCATTCTTTATAATGAGGAACAGTGAGGTTTCCTAAATTGATATTAAAATAAGGGAAAAAATAATAGAATAATTTCTTATTATGGCTGTATAATAAAATTATAAATTATTTTTGTTGCCTACAAATTTTAGAACCTTTGCAATAGGTTATCTCATTGGATCTTTAAAATAGTGTTATTGGCGAGGCATGGTGGCTCACACCTGTAATCCCAGCACTTTAGGGAGGCCAAGGCAGTTGGATCACCTGAGGTCAGGAGTTTAAGACCAGCCTGGCCAACATGGTGAAACTCTGTCTCTGCTAAAAATAGAAAAACTAGGCAGGCATGGTGGCGAGTGCCTGTAATCCCAGCTACTTGGGAGACTGAGGCAGGAGAATCACTTGAATCCAGGAGGCAGAGGTTACAATGAGCCAAGATCGTGCCACTCACTCCAGCCTGAGCAACAAGAGTGAAACTCCATCTCAAAAATAAATAGTATGGGCACGGTGGCTCACACTTGTAATCCCAGCACTTTGGGAAGCCAAGGTAGGCTGATCATGAGGTCAGGAGTTCAAGACCCAGCCTGTCCAATATGTGAAACGCCATTTCTACTAAAAAATACAAAAATTAGCCGGGTATGGTGGCACATGACTCTAGTCCCGGCTACCTGGGAGTCTGAGGCAGGAGAATCGCTTGAACCCTGGAGGCAGAGGTTGCAGTGAGCTGAGGTCGTACCATTGCACTCCAGCCTGGGTGACAGAGTGAGACTGCGTCTCAAAAAAATAAAATTAAAATAAATAAAATAGTATTATTTTTTAAAGAACAGATAATTTCTCTTCATCTTACAGAGCAAGAAAACCAAGGCACAAACAATCTCACTGTTTACCTGATATCACCCAAATATGCAACAGAGCTAGAATTAGAATCAGTATTTACTTTTTCTGATTTTTGGTATGGTGCAACACTCTTTTGATTTGTTTGACTTTTGTTTTGTTTTATTTTGTTTTTAGATGGAGTTTCGCTCTTGTTACCCAGGCTGGAGTGCAATGGCACAATCTCGCTGACCACAAACTCCGCCTCCCGGGTTCAAGCGATTCTTCTGCCTCATCCTCCCGAGTAGCTGGGATTATAGGCATAAGCTAACACGCCTGGCTAATTTTGTATTTCTAGTAGGCACGGGGTTTCTCCATATTGGTCAGGCTGGTCTCGAACTCCTGACCTCAGGTGATCTACCCGCCTCAGCCTCCCAAAGTGCTGGGATTACAGGCATGAGCCACTGAGACCGGTGACTTTTTATGTATTTTATATATATCTGACCTTGTTCAGTTTTAGACTGTCAGGTGCCCATATGAGAGAAATTAGGAAAGTGCAATATAAGTTTGGTTTTTATACGTTCATTATCATAGTAGTTCATGGTATTTAGTTTGTCTTATTGAAGCTTTGATGGATGTGACTCTAAGCTGGCAGTGGACTCTTTTGCTTAATATCTTTGAAATTAGTATCACACCCAGCTGCATTCTGTTGCAAATTACCAGCGTTGTGAGTGACATTTTTCCTTCCTGCTTCCTCAGCTAGCCCCAGTTATTGGGATTTAGATGTATTTTCCTGCTTGAAAAAGAAAAGAGGTGTAACAAGTAGTAATGTGTCATATTGGACTTCCCCATCCTGGAAACAGCATCTGTCATTGACATGATACTAATTTCAGTTGGGTGCTCAGGAGGCCTCTGGCTGATAGTTGTTTTGGTTGGTTTGTTTATTTGGATTTGTTTTGCAGTTCGTGTCTGGGATGTCCGGCCATTTGCCCCCAAAGAGAGGTGTGTAAAGATATTTCAAGGAAATGTGCACAACTTTGAAAAGGTGAGTTCTGCATGGCAGGGGAGTTTGACTGTTCATTTGATTCAAAGAAACATTTCAGGTGGTACTAAGGATAGAGAGCAGTAGCTCTGCTGAGAATGGACTTCATTCCAGTAACACTGCTCTTAATCAAAACTGTTGTTGCCAAAAATAAAACTAATAGAAATATTTGTGATTGGGAAGAAGCTAATCACATAGCCCAAAAGTAGTGGAGCCAGCTCTCAAACTGAGGGCATCTGACTTCATACCACCTTCAACACAACGCTCCTGGCCTTTTAATTACTTGGGAATTTTACCCTCTTAAATCAGTTTTCCATATGGAACCCAAGTTCCCATAGCTGTTAAGAAGGTCTCCCTCACCTGCCTCCCTACCCCATGACCAGGTGTGTTTGAACCCTAAGACTACATCTCTCCCCTCAGTACCTACCACAGCCCAAGTTCTGAGAGACAGAATTTTTTCAAACCCTCAAATTTAAAGGTCAGCTCTATTGAAAGAAGCTTTTACTCTCAGAGAATTTGTTAATAGAGATTAATGTTTTCCTTTTGAGAGCTCATTGAGATGCAGTTTCACTGTATAAATCAAATTTTATTTTTTAGACCTAGCATGGTGGCTCACAGTTGTAATCTCAGCACTTTGGAAAGCGAAGGCAGGAGGCCAGGAGTTCAAGACCAACCAGGGCAACGTAATGAGACCCTGTCTCTACAAAAAATAAAAAATCTGCATGTGACGGCATGTGCCTACAGTCTCAGCTGCCTGGGAGGCTGAAGTGGGAGTATCACTTGGGCCCAGGAGGTCAAAACAGTAGTGAGCTATGATTGTGTCACTGCGCTCCAACCTGTACAATAGAGCAAGACCCAATCTCAAAAAAAAAAATTATTTGTTGGGTTTGCTTTTATTCAAGATAAATAGGAAAAAAGAATAATGAATATCAAGACAAAGGGAGCCTCCATTTATAAGTAGAACAGAATTTCGTTGCCAGGTTCAATCTAATTAATTGTAAGTTAAGCATTTTCTACAGTTTTTATATGGTGTAAAATAACAAAGTATGCTATTCGATGCCATAGAATATAAGATAACCATCTTCCTGAGAAGAACAATTAAAACTCTACTTAGGAAATTTAAAGCCTCTCAGTGATTCTGTAGCCTTGCAAAGAGGAGTTTGGTATATTACTATTCCGTGAATTCTTATTTATCATAGAACCTTCTGAGATGTTCTTGGTCACCTGATGGAAGCAAAATAGCAGCTGGCTCAGCCGACAGGTAAGGATTACTGGGTGCAAAGTAAAGAATGATGTAGCTGGCCGGGCACAGTGGCTCACACCTATAATCCCAACATTTTGGGAGGCCAAGGTGAATGGATCACCTGAGGTCAGGAGTTTGACACCAGCCTGACCAACATGGAGAAACCCATCTCTGCTAAAAATACAAAATTAGCTGGCCGTGGTGGAGCATGCCTATAATCCCAGCTACTTGGGAGGCTGAGGCAGGAGAATCACTTGAACCCGGGAGATGGAGGTTGCAGTGAGCCGAGATTGCACCATGCACTCCAGCCTGGGCAACAAGAGTGAGACTCCATCTTAAAAAAAAAAAAAAAAAAAGGCTGGGCGCGGTGGCTCAAGCCTGTAATCCCAGCACTTTGGGAGGCCGAGGCGGGTGGATCACGAGGTCAAGAGATCGAGACCATCCTGGTCAACATGGTGAAACCCCGTCTCTACTAAAAATACAAAAAATTAGCTGGGCATGGTGGCGCGTGCCTGTAATCCCAGCTACTTAGGAGGATGAGGCAGGAGAATTGCCTGAACCCAGGAGGCGGAGGTTGCGGTGAGCCGAGATCGCGCCATTGCACTCCAACCTGGGTAACATGAGTGAAACTCCGTCTCAAAAAAAAAAAAAAAATAGAATGATGTAGCTACGGAGGATGTCTTCATGTGTTTGATACATAAAACATGGATATGGAGCTAGAGCAGACATAGAGTTATGACTGCTTGAATATGAAGCTCTGTGTGGCATGAAAGGTTTCGAAGCCATGTTGATCATTTCTACCCACTTTGGAGACATTTTAGACCTAGAGGATCAACAATTTGTTTGATGCTGTTGGGCTCCCTAAGTCTCATAATCTGTCTCTAGTCTCCCTCACTACATTTCTTCTGCCATGCTTCAGTTCATTTGAAAACATGTTTAGAACCCACCTCCCCCACCATCACCACAGTGCTGCTCACATGGAATTCTCGCATTCTAACCTCCCTTTTCTTTCTCACCTCCAGGTTCTCTCTCACATTCCCTCTTCTTTATTATCCAGACTCCTGTATCTCTCTAGTAGCCACCTCTATGTTATATCTATAAACTGTCTCTGGTTCCCTCTCTCTGTTACCTCTTGGGCATAATAATTGTTCTTTGTGCTGTAATCGCATTTCATACATCTAAGCTTTATTAGCATTTATTACATCTTACAATCAGACAAAGTGAGGCACCCTCACTAAATTATTTTCTCCTAGAGATTAGGGAATGAATCTTAGTCATTTGTGTGAACCTATGGCACTGTTGTCAATGCTTGAGCTTTTCTAACCAATTAGTTTATATTATATGAATGAATTCCTAGTTGAAGAATGGCAGTCAAATTTTACCCTACATAACAGCTCAGCTATTGGTAATGGCTGCCTGTGTTGGGGATGATTCAGAGCTGTGTCTGGGTTAGTGGGAAGTACAATGATTGCTAGGTACAAGATGTAATAAAATGTGGACTATGTATTTCCTACCCAATGCTGAATTAATCAGCTAAGGCTTTATGAAATATGAATCTAAACTGGCTCAGGCATTATATGCTGAATGAGAAACAGAAGGAAGAGAATTATTCTGTCAGATATTGTTGTATTTGGCATGTCTGTGGTAACCTGTGCTTGGGGGAGAATCAGGTTAAATAGGGATGTCCAGGTCTCAAGTGTGATGGGCTGCAAATGTGGCATGGTAAAGAATGATAAGACCCTCTGATAGCAATTTCTGCATTTAGCTCCCATTGGGCAATGTCTTGACCCTTTTTAGCTTAATCCTATCCTCCCCGTTAGAGTTTCTCTTCCAACCCTCCTGAAACAAGCACCATCCAATAAATAGGAAGCCTTTCTTGGGCTAGCCAGGGCTTTCAGCATAGTCCAGGGTTTTCCCCTATTTGGGGCCCTAGCACTGCCACACAGAAGCTGCACTGTGGTCTGTCTCTTACCTTTCTATTTATGAATAATACTGAACATACTTAAATTCCAGAGTCTACTTTTTTTTCCTGACAAATTTAATACAAGAAAAATGGACAAGTATTCAGGTATTTTCTGGAGAATATAGAAAGGATTCAGGTGAAAGTGTCACATTGGTCATTTGAGTGCAAGTGGTTTAGAGAGCTGCCTGGAAGGGGGAAATCGAAAGAATTTTAAGTTGTCAAGTTACTGGAGAAGACTTCAAGAAACCGACTAGGGTGTCTCATATTCTGACAGAGTAAGAACTATTCTAAGTATTTTTACATAATTTTCAGCAGAGTGTATCTTTCCTTTGTAATTAAATTTTTAAATTATATTTGCATACTTTTTTTTTTCTGTTGAGCAGTTTGTTTCTGGCATTGGCCCTTTCTGAATTGCAATGTCCTCTTTTCTCTTTCCCTTTCCACTCTCCCTTTAAACTTTACATGTGGTCCATGCACAATGGTGCACACCTGTAATCCCAACACTCTGAGCGGCCAAGGTGGAAGGATGGCTTGCACCCAAGAGTTCGAGACCAGCCTGGGCAAGATGGCAGGTCCCTATCTCTACAAAAAAATATAGTTTAAAAATTAGCCAGGCATAGTAGTACCCATCTGTAGTCCCAGCTACTTGGTAGGCTGAGGTGGAAGGATCCCTTAAGCCCAGGAGTTGGAGGATATAGCAAGCTACAATCATGCCACTGTTCTCTAGCCCTGACAACAGAGCAAGAAGCCATCTCTTTAAAAATAAAATTCACATGTGGAAGCATGGTCTGAGGAAACCTGCCTGTCTCCACCTGTTGGGGTTTGGCCAGATTTAAGAGGCCACCTCACCAGTTAGCCCCAAGTCAACAAGCAGTTCTGTTATATAAGGCTCCTGGTTCCTGCCAAATGTTGCCATGCCAAAGTAAAGAGAGGGCAAGGAACCCCTCTAAATTTAGCATCTAATTGGCAGCCATCAAGAGTGAGGCCTTGAAGTGTAAACCCTTAGAGATTGGCGGTTCTGTCTATGTGTCTGGGAAATGTATCCTCAGAAAACTCCTTTTCAGCTTGGCCTGGATTTGGCAAATTTCTCCTTTCTGTTAACTAATAACTTAGAAATCACCTCCTCATATTCAAACTTGAAATCCTAAATAGTCCTATGGACTACAGAAAGGCTGGCCAGTCTCTCGGCCAAGAGTGATTTATTCAGCCCATTGACATCATGAGATTCTGTTTTGATGATGAAGGTACTCATAATGACAATAGCTATAATTAATTCTGTGTGCCAGGCCCTTTGCATATATTATCTCATTTTTCTTAATAAAGTTATGAGATCAGTATTTTCTCCATCACTGTAACTAAGAAGCTTAGAGAAGTTAAATGATCTCCAATTATTATTTAACTTCTGTGAGCTAAGATTACTTAGCTAGTAAATAGCTGCACTGAGACTTGAACCCCAGTCTTTCTGACTCCAGAGCTCATACTCTTTTTTATTTTTTTTTTTTT